CAAGTTGTATACTTTCTCCATAGCTCAGTTTTCCCATCAAAAAAATTCATGCCATGGAGAAATTGTTAGGATCAGTGAGTCCAAGAATACACCCAGAAATGTGTTCACCACTCAAAGCCAGGTGCTTATTGTTACTGGGTTGTCCACCCAGTGGCAGAACTTCCAGCATTACAGCAACATGCAAGCCACCACAGTGCCACAGACTGACCGACGGGTGGAAACACAAGAGGGGAGCATTGAATTTTCTGGGAAATCAGGGAAGCTCTTCACAGATTAGGTTCCATTTGCCCTACATCTTAAAGGATGATTAGAAGTGGGAGAAGGGTTTTCCAGGCATATGGAGCCATAAATATTGAAGCATGATTGGGAAAGATGGGAAAGTTCAGTGTCTGAAGATAGCACAGGACTAATTCAATGATGGGCTAACCAAATGTGCACATCAGACTTCTTATTCAACAGCTGTTTCTTCCTAGAGCCGGGCTGTGACTGAGGGCACGCCCAGGTCTGCCTGAGGACGAGTAGATCAGAGTCGGTCTCTACCATCTGAATAATGCTGGAACACTGGTGTTTTCCAGACATCAGTCAGCTGGACACCTGGGGCCACCACATCCTTTAAACACAACCGTCTTTAACCCTATGAAGGGAAACCAGCAGCCCTCCCAATCTCTGCAGTTCCTCCCAGGCCCCACTGGCTCCCACTTCTTCCTTCTGCAAGATCTCATCTCCTTTGTTTATGGTTCCTTTCCTGCCCTGTGCTAGACACCACCCTGATTCCTATACTCCTCAAAGATACCCCTGACACAGGACAGCCCTTCTGCACACAGAGTAGTGGCTTTTAACGAAGGCTTGAAAATATGGGGGTGGGTTACAAACAGGGCTTTGAACCGGTTCATTCTGGTTCAAACTCCTGCTGAGACTTTGCATTTTCACCCCCAGATATACTGAATCAGGATCTACATTTTAACAAGATCCCTAGGTGATTCTCCTAGGGATCTTGTTAAAATGTAGATCCTGATTCAGTATATCTGGAGTGGCAATGCAAAGTCTGAGCAGAGGATCGAACCAGAACGAACCTGTTTGAAGCCCCTGGTTGCAACACAGTGCAGCCAATGAGCACTTGATAGAACATGGGACAGCTCGTCTTTAGCCTCACTGTCTTTCCTACTACTGGAAGACTTCACTGGCCATTCTTGCTCATGGGCCCTGGCTGCTTGCTGGTAGTTTCCACTCTTTTCTCCTTATCTTCTGCCCACTGCCTACGAACTCCCAATTCCTGGCAGTTTATCATGCAAAACAATTGGGCCTATCCAGTGTCCTCCAGTAACCATAGAGGACATTAAGCCTTTTCCCTAAAAGAAAGCCCACTCTAAGGATTTCTGTGGCCTGCTTTTATTTTTTTTTTAAATCCTTTTATCTGATTTTTCCTCAAATCAGTTGGTGTCAAGTGCTTTATCTTCAGTCTCACTAATTCTGACTTCCATTGCCTCAATTCTGCTCCTGTGACTTTCTATTGAGTCATCTAATTCTGAAGTTTTATTGTTAATCTTCTGAATTTCTGATTGCTGTCTCTCTACGGATTCTTGCAGCCTGTTAAATTGGTCATTATGCTCTTCTCTAATCTTTTTAATTTCCTCTATTGCGTGTTCTGCATTTTGCTTAATTTCCTTCCTAATTTCTTGAAGAGTTCTGTATATTAATCTTTTGTATTCTGCCCCTGGTAATTCCAAGAAATATTCCTCCTCTGGAAAATTTCTAGATTCTTTATTTTGGGAGCTTGCTGAAGCCATCATGGATTGCCTCTTTACATGATCTGATATTGACTCTTGTCTCCGAGCCATCAATAAGTTATTATATTTATTTATTTTACGTTTGCTTACTGTGTCCTAGCTTCTTGTTTTGTTTTGATATGCCCATATAGGCTGCTTGTATGAGCTAGTTTGATTATTGGCACCTTTGAAGCTGTAACGTCCTGTCGCCAGGTGGTTAGATCTGTTACTAGGTATGTGAGCTCAGGAGTCCACCCACTCTTCCTGTATGGATTCAGCTCGGGCGCCCATGTAGATAACCACCAAGTGTGTGGTGTAGGCTCTCACTTACAGTCCTAGACAGACATGGATGATTGGTGTAGGCACAGGCATCTGGTTGCAGCAGGGGAACACACTCTGCACAAGGCAGGGGGCTGACGGCTGCCACCAAGTGTCCAGGAAGAAGGCATCTCCCTGCTCCCTAGAGCACGTAGGTGGGTGGGTTTTGCAGGCAGACTATGAGCAGCTAGTGCTGTTGGCTGTATGGACTGGGGGGCACCACTTATTCATGGGCCTGTATCACAGGTGGCTAGGTGGCATGGGTAGAGCCACCAGTCCTCAGGCCGCTGATGTGGTGGGTAGGTCAAGACCCTGCTTAATGGGCAGAGCAGTGTCAAATGTCAAGAACCTGCCACTTCACAGCTGAAACAGTTGAAGTTAGAGTTCTGGTATATACCCTGTTGTACTGCGGTAATGAGGGCCTATGCTGTTGAGATGGGCCCACACAAATCTCTGCAGAGGGAAAGGCACTAAAAGTCCATGGATCACTTACGCCTGTGCCTAGGCAAAGGAGCTGTGCCTACCCTGGGTTTCTGGCTTAGGGGAGCCGGCAGTTTATTTTTTCCCGTTTGTTAATTTGTTCACTCTCCAAGGCCGGGAGAATGGCTCAGGGCATGTGACAGATCCTACTTCCGGCCCAGGGGACTCAGCAATTGCTGAAGCTAGTCTGGGACCCAGTGCAGAGCAGGGAGCAGGGAGGTAAATGGGAGAGAAGTTTCTTCCCTAAGGGGGGTGTGTTTGATCCACACGGTAAGCTGTACGCAAGAACTTATCTTTCATCAAGGGCTGCTTCTCACTGGTTCTGCGTGGCCGAGTAGACTCTCTGCGGCTGGGTCTCTCCTGGTGCAGGATACACCTCCTGAACACTGATGCTTGTCTGCCTCACTGCTCACCCCCAAGCTGATCAGACCTGAAAGGCTCAGGCTCTTGCCAGGTCAGGTCTGGCAACTCCTCACTGCTTCCAAACTGTCTCTCCCTCCCCCTGCCACTCAGTCCAGTTCCTCAACTCTGCCTTTGATATTCAGGGCCCCCAGATTGCCATATATAATCAAATAACTTGTTTTTTGGGGTCTTTGTTGTAAGAGGGTCCTCTGGAAGTGTCTGACTACTCCCCCCTCTTGGCCCTCCTGTGGCCTGCTTTTAAACCGGAGTTCTTTCTCTCCCTGCTCATCCTTGAAGGACAGTGTGGAGGAATAGAGATGCAAAGATTCACCCTCTCGTGCTGCCGATTTCCTTAGTGGCATTACTGGTACTGAGATTTTGCTTCATCAATGTTTGGCTAAATGTAAAGATAGATCAAAGATCCCTCTCTCTTCCTGGAAATTGCAAAACCTTCCTGCCTCTAAAATGTGTAAACAAAGCCATGCTAACTGCGAGGAAACTCTGACTCTTCCGTTGGTCAAACCCTGGGCTTTGTGTTGTCTTTTGCCGTTGTTTTTTTTGAGTTTGGCAGGCAAGCTTGGGTCAGAGGACTGAAACACGGGCTTAGAGGTTTAAGAGAGTGTGGAGCAGATGTCTTAAGTCGAGGCATTTTCTGTTGTGAGAACTCTGGCCCGTGCGTATATGCTGGGAGCTGGAAGGCCCTCCTTACCCAGGCACGGCAGATAAATGGAGCACCTCAGTAAGTTCCTGGGCAGATAGAGAAGGGATGAAAGGAGAGAGCAACTCGGGTGTGCAAGTAGTCCTGAAAAAAGGTGCAGAGTGGATTTATGTTTTGTATGAGGAGCCCTGGAGGCACAGAGGTTAAGAGCTTGGCGTGCTAACCAAAAAGGTTTGTGGTTTGAACCCACCCAGCCACTCTGAGGGAGAAAGATCTGCTCCCGTAAACATGACAGCCTAGAAAACCCTATAGGGCAGTTCTACTCTGTCCTGTGTGGTCACTATGAGTCAGAATCGACTCAACGGCACACAACAACAGCAGCATTGTATCATAAGCACTTGGAGAGTTCATGAATTAAAGAAAGCCAATTGTAAATCCTTCTTTAAGTTAATATCATGAAGTATGGCGGGGAGGGGGTGGAATCCCTGGACAAAGCATCAGGAAACCAGATCAGAACTTCACTGTCATTGATCACTTCATTTTTCTGGATCTGTTCTCTTCTGTGCAATGAAGAGTTTCAATCAGATAGTCTCTCTCTCTCTCTCTCTCTATAATTGGGACAGGATTAAGGAGAGGCAGTGAGGGAGACTGCAGTTCAAGAATGACTCCCAGGCAGTGGGGAAGACTGGGGAGGAGTAGGGTTAGGGTGGGGAAAATCAGGACCTTTCCTTGACATGGTATTGTTGAGATGACTGTTAGTCTCCCTAGAGTAGATGTCAATGGCAAGTCAGCAACTGGAGTTCAGGGAAGCCAGGGCTGAAGACAGAAATCCAGGAGTCATCAGCATGTATATGGGGTTAGATGGATCCACTACAAAGCAGTGTTGTTGTTAGTTGTCTTTGAATTGATTCCAACTCATGTCAACCCCATACATGCAGAGTTGAATTGCTCCATAGAGTTTTCAAGGCTGTAATCTTTCAGAAGCAGTTTGCCACACCTTACTTCTGAGGTACCTCTAGGTAAGTTTGAACCTTCAACCTTTCAATTAGTAGTCCAGAGTTTACCCATTTGCGCCTGCCAGGGCCCCCTTCCAAAGGGGTAGAGATGCAGGATAGAACAGGTCCAAGGATTGTGCCACAACCTCACCAGGTAGTACTCCTTTCATCCCCACTTTACAGATAAGGAAAATAAGCTAGTGAGTTGCCCAAGGTCCTAGAGGCAGTAAGTGGTAGCACTGGGATCTCACCCCGCAGTCCGACTCTACAAGCTCTGTCCCATCCACTCTGCCATAGTACCCTGAACTTTGTGCTCACAGCAATAGTGCTTTGCTGCTTCATGCGTCACCAGAAAATTCACGTGGAACAATCTCTCTGCAGGAAGAAGATGATGACGGTCTGCCTAAGAAAAAGTGGCCTACAGTGGACGCCTCTTATTACGGTGGGCGCGGTGTCGGAGGCATTAAAAGGATGGAGGTAAAAGCACAGCTTAATGTACACGTATCTATGTGCCAACTACTTGGTGATGGAAACAGAAGCAAACTGGTGAAAACTCACACTTGAGGTCTAGTGGGGAGGTGGTTTATGAGGCAGAAGGATAGAGAGATGGGAAGTACAGCTGTTCAACTGTGCAGCCCCATATCATACCCACCATGAGTCAGAGAAGGCCAGTTGTCTGCTCAAACCCCCCCAAGTGGTTTCTTTTCTCACTGGAATAAGCGCCAAAGTCCTTACCTGGGCCCACAGGGCCTTCACATGTGCTGTGCCCCCAGCCTGGACGACTCCTCCCCTAAATGCCCATCCACGTGGCCTGCTCCCACTGACCCTTCAGCTCTCCCTTTCCCTTGTCCACATCTCCCCCATTCCCTGCCCCTCAAAACCCAGTAGAACTGAGGCCTGGGTAGCACTCACATTGCACATCTCACCGTCGTCTCACATTTGTGATTACCATTCTCTTAAAAAAAAAAAAAAGTTGCCGTCGAGTCATTTCTGACTCATGGCGACCCCATGTGTGTCAGAGTAGAACCGTGCTCCGTGGGGTTTTCAATGGCTGAGTTTTCAGAAGGAGATTGCCAGGCCTTTCTTTCAAGGCGCCTCTGGGTGGATTTGAACCCCCAAGCTTTAGGTGAGCAGCCGAACATGTTAACCGTTTGCACTACCCAGGGGCTCCCACCATTCTCTGTTTCTGTTGCTGTTCAGTGCCGGCGAGTCAGTTTCGACTTACGATGACCCCACGTGAGAGAGTAGAACTGCCCCATGGGGTTTTCTAGGCTGTAATCTTTTCGAGAACAGATCACCAAGTCTTTCTGCTGCAGAGCAGCTGAGTAGGTTCAAACTGCCAACCTTTCCATTAGCCACCGAGCGCTTAACCATTCTGTCACCAGGGCTAGGGACAGCGTGTTTTATTTTGTCATTTTGTTTTATTGTATTTTATTTATTTTAGGTTCGTTGGGGAGAAAAGGGCTCCACAGAAGAAGGCGCTAAGTTGGAAAAGGCAAAGAATGCAAGAGTCAAGATGCCTGAACAGGAGTATGAATTCCCTGAACCTCGAAATCTCAACAACAATATGCGCAGGCCCTCTTCCCCCCGGAAGTGGTACTCTCCGATCAAGGTGTGTCTCTATACTTAAAAACCCATCATCATTCCTAATCAAACACTTTCATAGTACGAATCAGAACTTTTGACATGATTACATATCAAACCAAAATCCAGCTGATCTGAGGGGGAAAAAAATTCTAAAATTATGAACTTGGAAGTACAAGCTATTACTTTCTCACTTTCCGTATTATCAAAGTTGAGAACCAGGCTCTTAAAATCACTGAAACAGCATAGTGGAAAGAGCGTGGACTCTGACTCAAGTGACTCAGGTTGTCACCCTGGAGGGTCATTATAAACTTCCATAACATCTGCTAACTCACTTAGTAGGCAGTTTCACTGTCTAAAAGCGGCAGGGTTCTCCTTGATGCCTCTATTCCTCTTACCATAACATAAGCCCAAGCCTCATTTGTGTATCAGGACACAGCGGGAACCATGGGGGATCTGAGGAGCATTGTGCTGGCCTTGAATCTAGGCTCACTCTTCCTGGATATGAGTGAATCCTCTTTTTTCTCCGTCTCTCTTCCCGCCACACCTCCATAGCTTAAAACTTTCTTTGCTCATTGGACAGTTGATACCATAAGAGGCAGTTAATACTTCCTAAAGGCTTCTTTTCTATTCCCCTTGGGTGCAAATGTCTTTAAATTCATGTGATTTATCCAACACCCTTGCTCTTTGGCCTTTCCCATAAGCATCTGCACTACACCAATTGTCAGAGAGTACTAGAAAAAACTCTAGACATAATGTCCCCCTCCCTCATTTCATAGGGGAGGAAACTAAGATGGGAAGATCCTTGCTCTATCTAGTTCTGGAATCCAAGGACCAACTCAGGACTTCAGCCTCCAGTTCCATGCTGCAAGCAGAACTGGGCCAATCCCAAGGCCTCAGATAAAGACCCAACATAAGAGAAGGTTCTCGTCGCCACCCCATACACAAGAACACGCACATCCCTAAGCCTTACCGCTCTTCCAGTTCCAGCAAAGATAATATTCATCATTCCCCTGAGTTATTTGTTAGTTTTAGAGCAACGCTTCTGTTATGAAATCAGAAGAAATACTATTTCAAATCAGTGGAGTGACACCTTACTGGTAGTTGTCTTCTCTCAGCCAAGCTAGCCCATGCTCACACTAATTGCAGTGCATTCCATCTTGGTGTGCTGTGTTCAAAGCACTGAGATTCTTTTTTAAGATAAGCTGCCCCTGGGGCAATGAACTGAACTCTGGAAAGATGTGGGCGAAATGCAACTTGCCTGAGTAGCATCAGCTGTTTGCTTCTGGTTATTTTCTAATGTGGAACACACAGTGGCGTGCATGCATGCACAGACAGGAAGGAGCCGAGTAGAATCTCGAAGATGAAGAAGAAAGGGGATTTTTTTATTCCGTCATTTTTGGTTTTTGGTTTTTTGTTTTTGTTTTTTTCCTGGAATCTGTAACTTGCGACTAATACAACATCTTTGGTTACAGCCAGGTTTTCATTTCTGTAATCTTGGACTTTGAAAGAACATCAATTCTATTTGCAGAATCCAATTTCTGCTTGAGAGCAGGTTATTCCTCTACGAATGGGAGGTTTAGGACTGAGTTTTATGAAATAAATAGGAAAATGGGTAAACACATTTAGAAACCTAACATTCTCGACTCCCACTTGGAATTAGTATAAATTCAAAGAGTATTTGTTGTACATCTACTATGTAGAGCACTGCCAGATACTAAGTATACAGAGGTTCCCAAACCAGGCTGAGTAGCAGAACCACCTGGGGGAGCTTAAAAAATACAAATTTCAGTCACCACCTCAAACCTAACAACTCAGAGTGTCACAAAAGGCCACCAAAAGCACTCTAGCCCTCACAACTTGCCCACTCTTTCTCATCAAGTAAAACTCTTCTATCACCAATGCCTCCCTTTTCAAATTTCACATGCAGACTCCGTAAGCAAGACTTCTACTCCTCTGCTGCCCCAGTTACCGCTCGCTCCCCAGCTCCTGCTCTTGCCTCCCCTCTCAAGTCTCATGTTAAAACACTGGTTCAAAAGTGTGGCCCAACATCAGCAGCATCAGCATCACCCAGCAACTTGTGAGAAAGGCAAATTCTCAGGCCTCCTGAATCAGAAACTCCAGGATGGGACCCAGCCATCTGGGTGTTAACAAGCCCCCCAGGTGACACTGATGCTCCCTCAAGTTTGAGAATCACTGAGTTAAGCTGCTCCCTGAGGCCACCCGTGACCCTCGTTCCAGCTGCAGCCTCTCAACTATTCTTGGTCTTTGTCTCCTTGGTATTTTAGCCACTTGGGTCACCGTTGGCCTTCTCTTCCCTTAGCTTCTGGACTCTCTTCTATCTTCCTTTGAAGAGGGTTCCTGACATGCCTGCTTTCCAACAGAAGTTGTCATTAAAGGTTCCAGCAGCATTCCATGGGAGGCTTCCCGATGGCAGGAACCGTGATGCCTGGATTATTAAGATAGACAGCAGGGCCGCGGTCATACTCAGTGATTTGTCAGGGGTCTCAGCAGGGAAAACCCCATTAGATTTCACATTGGATCCATTTTCACCACAAACACAGCTGCCAGATTGATGTTCAGTGGTTGGAATCTACATCTCAAGGAATCACTGAGAAGGCCAGGTTGATGCTGGTGGATTTGCTAAGCATTTCTGCAGGACTCCCTTGTTGCTTTCGCCCAGTAGGGCAGCCGGTGCCAACACGTCCTCCGTTAGGTGGCAGATGTGGAAAATGCCCGTTGGTGTGATTATTCATATTCATGAGTCATCTCCCAACCAGATTTGACTCCTAGGTGTACCAACTATGTTCAATTCATCTTTGAATCCCCAATTCACAGCACTGGACCTGGACAGAATAGGGACTCTACCATCTCTTGTTAAAGAGCTGAGTCATACAATGTAATTAGGACGCCACCCCAGAGCACCATGCTGGGTAGACTCTCTCCTGGGACCCACACAGGTCATTCTGATAATCTAAATCCAAGGAAGGTGGTATTCTTCTTGCCATCTCTTTGAGGACAGAGGAGAGAAAAAGAGGTAATCTTAAAAAAGGGATCTGGGCTGGGTAGGTGAGGGAAGGGCAGGAGCCAGGAGATTTGAGAATAGAAGCACAAAGCAGAATTCAAAAGAAGTAAGGAGTTCTTCAGAAGAAGAAAAAGGGCAAACTTACTGCTAGAATTTCAGCCTTCGTAGTGTTTAACACAGTGCGTGCTCCATATGAGCCCGCAATGCCTCTGGACGTTCACTGGGCCTTGGACAAAACATTTAGACTCAAGCGGTACCATAGACTCTGCTCCCCTTTCCTGGCCGCCTCCCTGGATTAGTCAGGGTCCTGGATGGAAACAGAAGGCACACTCAAAAGGGTCAACCTGCCAGTTGAATGAAGAAACTATTTATAGAGGTGTGGTTAGGGTTAAGGGAACCTGCAGGGATGGTGAGGCACTCAGGGCCTAGCAACAGTGGGAGCTGTTACCACCCTAGGCCTACAGGGCCAGGAGGAAAAGGTGTGAATGGAGCCACTGAGCTGGAGCCCTGGAGAAGCAGCCACCCAATGGTAGCTCTGGCCATTGCCCTGCCGCCTGTTTTTGTATGGTGCGTAATCTAAGAATAGTTTCTGTGTTTTTAAATGGTTAAATTTCAAATGGTTATGTAAGTTATTGTTGTTATTAGGTGCCATCGAGTGGGTTCCAACTTATAGCAACCCTACATACAACAGAATGAAACACTGTGCCATCCTCACAATCGTTGCTATGTTTGAGCCCATTGTTGCAGCCACTCTGTGTCAGTCCATCTTGTTGAGGGTCTTCCTCTTTTTCACTGACCCTCTCCTTTACCAAGCATGATGTCCTTCTCCAGGGACTGGTGCCTCCTGATAGCATGTCCAAAGTACGTGAGACGTAGTCTCGCCGTCCTCCCTTCTAAGGAGCATTCTGGCTGTACTTCTTCCGAGACAGATTTATTCGTTCTTCTGGCAGTCCGTAGTACATTTCAAATGATTATGTAAGTACCTATATAATACAGGCAGTCCCTGGGTTACAGACATTCGACTTAGTACAACCCATAGTTATGAACCAACCCTTGTAAAGCCTATTATATTAAAAATTTAGGTATATACAATGGTTCGTAATAACAAACAGGCGCTACTTCTAGACATGCATCAAAACATTATTATTATTATTCCTGTATTATTATGTTAAAGATGTTTTAGTGTATCTGGAAATGTTTCTTTAATGTTTCTTATGCATAGAAAGGTACACTATGTACTAAGACAAGCGTTTGACTACCTGGCTTTAGATACAAACCATACCTAACTGTTCAATTTACGTACAAATTCAAATCAAGATTTAGGAACGAAACTGTTCATAACCCGGAGACTGCCTATATCCTCAATTTTACCTCTTTGCATTTTAAGCCTGCAAATCTTAAAATATTTACTCTCTGTCCCTTTACAGAAAAAATGTGCTGGCCCCCTCCTCCTCCCAGAGATGTATAGTTGCTGCCAGAGTGCAGTGAGACAGGGAGGGAACAGAAGGAACAAATAACCCAGCCTCTCCTTCATTTTGTCCTCTTGTCTCCTGCCCATGCCACCAATTGACCGAACCCAGCAGGAAGCTGGATGAAGCCATGTATAAAGGTCAGCCTTTCTAGGCGTAGAGCAAGGCAAAGAAATGCAGAGAATGACGGGGGCAGGGAGCTTATGGAGAACAACCAGTCCACTCTGTGCCCCCTCTTCTCCCCACTATAGAATGAGAGCCATCTACTTCCGAAAAACCAGCCATTGAAAACCCTATGGAGCACAGCTCTACTCTGACACATATGGGATTGTCATGAGTCAGGATCATTTCAACAGCAACTGGTACTGGAACCGGCACTATAAAATAGGAGAACACATCCACCTAGTTCAGAACTTTCAGGAGGTACTGGAAGATTCCTAGTTCCCCAACGAAAGTAGCCAGAATCGAGTACGTATTTAAACGCATTGCCTTGGCTCACTGTTTCATGCATTCCATGAAGTCGCTTAGAGAAGA